AAGTGGGCATGGTCCAATTCTAGACGAAGATAAGAAGAAAGGCAATGCGCATTTTCTTCTGTTCTATATATTACATTTGTCCATTTGTGTTGGTTATTCCTGAAAAATTGTTGATGTAGTTGAACTCTAGTGTCTTTTATTTAATTTTGTCGAAAAGCTCAATGAATTATTTGTTTAGGCTCTTTTCAAAAAATCATTTTTTAAATAAGTAATGGTATATAATTAATTTTGTTCAATTATTAATGGTATTTGAATCATCTTACCATCAAATTAATTATTTGATAACTTACATATTTCTTTTATTTGTAACAAGTTAATATAGTTTATAAGTTTAAACTTTGTTTGAGCTACATTAAAAATGCATTTTTGAATAGTAATATTTTGGAGAATGTGTAGTTAAAAGTTAAGGAAGAATTTTAGGTTTATGTGTAATGTTATTTTATTGAAGAAAGCGTGGTTAAAAATAAAAAATTTATTTTTCAAGAATGGAGGCTAAACAGAGGCTAAATGTTTAATTGTCTCAGCAGATAGACATTGAACAATGCTCACACCACATGATTTCAAGTATGTATATCAATATTCATCTTCTGTATTCACTCATTGTACTAGCGTCAACGAGTTTTCCTCCGTATAATAAGTACAAATGAATGAAGAAGAACAGACCAGATGTGATGTGATGTTTCCTCGTTCAGTAAATATATACCAATTTATACATTCTAAGACTCGGAACAGAAACAATTTTTACCAAGGAGGGGAATTCGAAAAGGATAAAGATTCAAATAGCAACCATCCTCCGTATAATACCTGAACACCATCAAACAACTTGCTGACAATCTAGAAATTGCAGGAAAGAGCATTCCTCATAACGATCTAGTTACACAAGTGTTGGCTGGACTTGGTGAAGAGTACACTCATGTAGTTGTACAAATCACTAGTAGAGAGTTCATCTCCTGGTCTAAACTTCATTATGTTCCGATGACTTTTGAAAGTTGAATTGAATATCTTATGAGATTTTTTTTTTTCATTTTTCTCTATAAATACCTACCTCCTAATCAAATTTTTTTTTCCCACAAATTCTCTCATTCTCTACTCTACTCTCTACAATTTACAAATGATCAAATATCAACATTCAACAATATCAAATTATCAATTCNATTAAATTAACCGTTTTGGTCGCTGAGATTTTTTTTTATTTTTTTCTCTATAAATACTCACTCCCTATTCAACATTTTTTTCCACCAATCCTCTCATTCTCTAATCTACTCTCTACAATTTACAAATTATCAAATATCAACATTCAACAATATCAAATTATCAATTCCTTTCATTCTATTATCATCTTCATCTTCTGAATTTTTTTTACATTATTATCTTGATTTTACTTTTACAATTCATTTTATACACTACCCATACCACATAATCTTCATTCACTTCTCAATTCTACATTTCTACATTCTATTTTAAGTCTTCAACATTCAATTTCTATTATTCACAAATGAATCCACGACAATTTGTTGAAAATTTGTTCTGTATGGAAAGCGAAACACCTGCCCAAAATCAATTTGGGAATGCATTTGCCGATATCAATGAATTACCAATTCCAGATAACATTGAAGATTTCAACGTTCGTGAAGGTGTCATTCAATTGATTTGGATTAAGTTGATGTTGATCATAGTGTTCCAATTGATTTGGAATA